TGTAATCCCAGCACTTTGGGAGGCCAAGGCGGGTGAATTACTTGAGGTCAGGAGTTGGAGACCAGCCTGGCCAACATGGTGAAACCCCGTCTCTACTAAAAATACAAAAATTAACTGGGCATGGTGTCGTGCATCTGTAATCCCAGCTATTCGGGAGACTGAGTTAGGAGAATCGTTTGAACCTGAGGAGGTAGAGGTTGCAGTGAGCTGAGATCGAGCCACTGCACTCCAGCCTGGGCAACAGAATGAGTGAGACTCTGTCTAAAAAATAAAAATAAAAATAAAAGGAATTTGGTAGGAAAGAAGTTTGAGAGTTCCCAGAGGTCTACGTGAAACAGTAGGGTACTCACATCTTCAAAATATGTCTAAGTATGTATAAAATTTGATCACTGGTCACAAGCAGAAATGGGGTCCACAAAGCAGGAAAAATGTCACAGCGATGGACCTTGGATAAGCTTTCTCCAGTTTCTCCCTCCTCCGAACTGGAAACAAAATACCCATCTGACCAATAGTGGGCTGGACCTAGTTACAGGCTGCCAAGTATCTGCCCTGTTAGTGTGACCTGGAACAAAATTCCCAGCAGAGGACAGCAAACATTTGCTGAGCACAGACCTGTGACCCTACTACGTGAGATTCTAGGGGCAGTGTTTGAATTACGCCATAACTGGGGGTTGGTGGCTTATGGGGAAGTGCTCTATACTAAACAAAGTGTGTGAGGCAGTCAGGCCTGAGAAAGAAGAGGTTGGCATCTGCAATTTGAAAATGTGACTCTGCTGTTTTATTTTTATTTTCAGAGACACTGTCTTGTTCTGTTGCCTGGGCTGGGGTGCAATGGTGCAATCATAGTTCACTATAACCTCAAACTCCTGGGCTCAAGTGACCCTCCCGCCTCAACCTTCTAAGCACACTGCCATGCCCAGCTAATTAAAAACAAGTTTTTTTTTGTTTTGTTTTTGTTTTGTTTTTGTTTTTGGTAGAGATGCAAGTCTTGCTATGTTGCCCTGGTTGGTCATGATTTCCTGGTCCCTAGTGATCCTCCTGCCTCAGCCTCCCAAGCACGCCACCAGACCTGGCTAATTTTTTTCTTCTTTAGTTATTATTTAGCTCTCTTTATAACTGGCTTATTTTTATTATTTTTTGTAGAGAAGGGGTCTTGTTATGTTAGCCTGCCTGGTCTTAAAATGTAACTCTGTTGTTTTATACAAAACACTTATCTTTTTCCATTTGAAAACAAGTTGTATTTTCCAGCATAAAATTCCAGACTTATAGACTATAGTATAGTCCTTAGGACCCATAATGTGTCTCTAAGAACTATTTGCCAATGTCTGTACTTTCAGTGATCTGTAACCTCTAGGAGTAGTGGAGAGGTTAAGCAACTTGTCCAGGGTTACCCAGCCAGGATGTGGTGGAACTGAAAACCGACCTTTGCCTGTCTATTTCATAAGCCAATGTTTCTAGCCCCCACGTTACAGTGACTGTTCTTATAAGGTCTGGGAATGGAAGATGAATGAATGGAAGATGAATGGTTTATCCCCCAGTTTTCTCTGAGGCAAACATAATTATACTTCTTCCTTTGTTCTTGGAGGTTTTTCTCTTCTCATATCCCCTCCATTCACCAAAACAGAGTTGGGTCTATATTTTACCCAGCTGGCTCTTGGAACTGCATAAATCCTGGCTGTTTTCACTTTTTAAAAATTATGAGATTAACTACCAAACTTGAGCTGTAAGTTGTGGGTTAGCTCTTTACTCTGCTAGATAACCCAGAACAAAGTATTAACTTCTTTGAGAGCCTCCTTTTTTTCCCTTCATTGCCGTTGTGCATTTCTACCGGAAAATGTGGGAATGTGTGTGAAGGCGACCTAGCAGAGTGCCTGGCACACAGGAAGGAGCTTGCTGAATTTATAGTTCCGGGCTCCAGAACAAGGGCGGCCCATCTTAGCCTGAGCCACTCTGACTTCGCTTTAGGAAATACTGCCTAGATATCTAAAGGAAAGTGATAGCAACTGCAACCAACTGTTTTTGAGGTCTGCCTGCCCACCAGTGGCCCCCTCAGCACATGGGAACGGTGTGTGGAGGTGCCTGAAACAGACACTGACTCAAGGGAGGTCTGTACAGAGGCAGTGTGGGTAAAGAAATGAATGCAGATTCCCCAAAAATCCAGAGGCATATGCAAGAGGAGGGGCACGGGTTCTTTCGAGTCACCTTCCAGGTGACCAGGTGCATTTACAACTCTAAGGCTCTGTGAGTATGTTTTTTTCTTACCTTATGGAATAAAGGGGTAAAGAAGACAGCTGCCCTGGGTATGGCTTTGGGTCAGAATAAACATTTCTCAAATTGAAGTGTTTCAGTAATGTCTTGAGAAATCGGATTTGTTCAGGCTTGCTGGAAGTGCATTATTTGATTCTAAGTTTCACTTAAAAGTCTTGGGGAAGGCCAGGTATGGTGGCTCATGCCTGTAATCCCAGTACTTGAGAGGCCAAGGCAGGCAGATCGCTTGAGCCCAGGCATTCCAGCCCAGCCTAGGCAACATGGTGAAACCCCGTCTTTACAAAAAATACAAAAGTCAGCTGGGCGTGGTGACAAATGCCTATAGTCCCAGCTACCGGGGAGGTTGGGGTGGGAAGAGGGAGGATGACTTGAGCCCAGGAGGTTGAGACTGCAGTGAGCCGATATTGTACCACTGCACTCCAGCCTGAGCAACAGAGCAAGATGCTGTCTGAACAAAACAAAACAAAAAGTCTTGGGAAAAATCACTGACAACACAGTTTTCTTTTTTTCTTTTCTTTTCTTTTTTTTTTTTTTTTTTTTGCTCTCTGGCTCAGGCTGGAGTGTGGTGGTGTGATCTCAGCTCATTACAACCTCCGTCCCCCGAGTTCAAGTGAATCTCCTGCCTCAGCCTCCCTAGTAGCTGGGATTACAGGTGCACGCCACCACGCCCAGCTAATTTTTGTATTTTTTTAGAGATGGGGTTTCACCAGGCTGGTCTCAAATTCCTGATCTCAGGTGATCTGCCTGCCTTGGCCCCTCAGCGTGCTGGGATTACAGGGGTGAGCCACCGCGCCCAACCGAAAACACAGCTTTCTAAAGGGATTCCTCTGGCCTGGTGCAGTGGCTCACACCTGTAATCCCATCACTTTGGAAGGCCAAGGCGGGTGGATCACCTGAGTCAGGAGTTTGAGATCAGCCTGGCCAACATGGCAAAACCCTGTCTCTACTAAAAATACAAAAACTTAGCCAGGCGTGGTGGCACGTGCCTGTAATCCCAGCTGCTCAGGAGGCTGAGGCAGGAGAATTGCTTGAACCCAGGAGAGGGACATTACAGTGAGCTGAGATCACACCACTGCACTCCAGCCTGGGCAACAAGAGAGAAACTCTGTCTCAAAAAAAATAAAAAATAAAGGGACTCCTCTAATCTTGACCAAGAGAGAAGGGAGTGTCCCACACTCTCTCGGGTACCAGCATGAGAAGAAGGAGAACAATTTGCTTTTGTGCAGACTTAGTGTTCTCCTGAAATTCACCACCCTTCACCTGTGCTCTATTATTTGCATTCAATGCTTTTTTATTTTTTGTGCAGAAGCTGGGTACAATTAGCCATGACAACTGCAATAAACTGATATTTCTAGCATAGTGATCATAACCACTGCCAGAAAACCTTGGATTTGGGGTCATGCATTTATCCTGAACACCGGTGCCTTTATCTTGCTCTCAGGGGACCAGAATCCAGAAGAAGAGAGAGACATGCAAATAGTTCCAATGCAGTGTAACTGTAAGCATCCCTAAGTGGTGGTACCGAGGAAAAAGAAAGACGCCTAACTCCCCAGGGCCGTCAGGGAAGCCTTCATAAAGAAGAGATGTTCAAATGGACTTTGAAGGATGAGTAGAAATTTGCACAGAATTTAGCTTCTTTTCTTCATGCCTCTTTTCCCTGACAAAGAAGCTAGAAGCCACCTGCACCTGAGATAGAATCTCAAGAAAGCAATAACAGTTCATCTAGTGCTAAAAATGACTTGAAACTAAAGAAAAAATATGTTCAGCCTTAAACACCTGCTACTGTCCCCAAGGCAGTATAAGAAGATCCTTCCAGATTTTTTTTTTTTTTTTTTTTTTGAGATAGAGTCTCGCACTGTTGCCCAGACTGGAGTACAGTGGTGTGATCTTGGCTCACTGCAACCTCTGCCTCCTGGGTTTAAGCGATTCTCCTGCCTCAGCCTCCCAAGTAGCTGGGATTAGAGGTACCTTCCACCATGCCTGGCTAATTTTTTGTATTTTTAGTAGAGACAGGGTTTTCTATGTTGGCCAGGCTGGTTTCAAACTCCTGACCTCAGGTGATCCACCCGCCTCAGCCTCCCAAAGTGCTGGGATTACAGGTATGAGCCACTATGCCCGGCTGATCCTTTCAGATTTCTGTATATACTTATTTTAACTCTTGTCCCTTGTCTCTTTCCTACCTTCGCTCCAGCCCCTTCAATACTTCCTTAATATTTCTCTTTTAACCAACAACTTTTTTCTTTTTTGAGATGGAGTCTTGCTCTGTTGCCCAGGCTATAGTGCAGTGGTATGATCTCAGCTCACTGCAACCTCTGCCTCCCAGGCTCAAGTGATTCTTGTGCCTCACCTTCCTGAATAGCTGGGATTACAGGCACCAACCACCACGCCCACCTAAGTTTTGTACTTTTAGTAGACGGGGTTTCACCATGTTGGCAAGGCTGGTCTCGAACTCCTGACCTCAGGTGATCCGCCTGCCTAGACCCCCCAAACTGCTGGGATTACAGGTTTGAGTCACCTCACCTGACCTTAATCTACAACTTGTTTTAAAAATGGGAGGCAGGATATATGTGTGTGTGTGTATGTGTGTGTGTGTGTGTGTGTGTGTATGTAGGAGAGAGAAAGAGAAAGACAGAGAGAGAGAATATCCTTCCCCCAACTCTGCAATTGGCCTTAAATTTTACCCACTCACCACCCCCACTTCCCTGCTTTGATGCTGTGCCTAAAGCAATGGGAATGAACTTCAGGTCTCTGGGCTTGGCCAGTGTTGCTGCTCTCCCTTGGAGTTCCAAGAAAGGTATCTCTTGGGATCAGGAGCTGGGCTGGAACCCAGGGCTCCTGAGATAGGACAAGGCTGTGCTGTGTGCACCTGTCCTGCCTTCTCACTTTGTACAATGAGGTAGGCATCCTTTTGTATTTCCTCTTGTTTTCTTTCTGCACCCCACTTGGCTTGGCAGCCATAAATCCACAGTTTCCTCCTTGGCATTTCTTCCATGTGTTCTGCCTGAATTAAAAACTGAAAGGGGGAAGGCCCAGTAGACCTTGAAATGTTCAGCTTGCCTTCGTCCTTGGCCGCTGGCTTGACAGGTCCCACAAGTTTTCCTGGGAGAGTGAGCAGCTGACGAAATCCCAGAGGCCCTGAAACCTCCCTTCCAGTAAGTGCCCATGTTTGCATATCCTGGTTCAAGAATAGGAACTGCTTGTTGGAAACTGATCAGGGAGCTAAAGTTACTGATTAAGTGGATTTGCTTCTAGCTGCAGGCAGTGGCCTCCCTGAGAAAGAGGGAATCTGTGGGACTGTTTTTACAGATTAAAATCTCCCTTGTTTGTTCACTTTCTACTTCTAAAAGTTCTTGGAACCCTTTTCCAGGAAGAAGCCAGGTAAAGTCAGAGTAGGGAAAAACCCTAAGCCTTGTTTTTGTCCTTTATACTTTAAAGCTTCCTTTATTTTCAAAGAGACGTACATGAGATGTCTGAAATAAGTCAACTTTAGGAAGGATAGCTAACGAGTGTTGGACATGTGCCAGGCACTGTGTGAGCACTTGGCATCCATTCTCTCTTTGGTTCCCATAAGTTAGGAATTGGCCGCCTTTCTCAGAGGAGAATGAGGTGCTGTGAGGTTAAGTCGATGACCATGAAATTGTCAGTGTTGGAACTGGGATATTATTATTATTATTATTTTGAGACAGGGTCTCACTCTGTCGCCCAGGCTGCAGTGCAGTGGCGTGATCACAGCTCACTGCAGCCTCTACTTCCCAGGCTCACATGATCGTCCCACCTCAGCCTCCCAAGTAGCTGGGACTACAGATATATGCCACCATGCCCTGCTCATGGAACTGGGATTCAAATCTAGATTCCTTGCCCCATGTCCTGGAGGTTGCCCAGGCATGGAAAAGATCCAGGCCTGGTCCACTGCTTTTAGGACGTGACACTTCTCAGGCAACCCCCTCTTTCAGTAATTTGCATTTTATTAGATAGAAACTGAAAACTCATGTCAAGGTGTCTGAAACCAGCAAAATAATGTTTTTTCGGTCTTTGTTCCCATTCCTTGGTTGGAGGGGGTGCTGGGTGACATTTGCTGTGCAAACAATAGCCCAGAAGCTGGGCAGAGTCCACACCTAGCTGAGTAAATAGCACCTGAAGGCCCTGGCGGGACATGTAAGCTCCCCAGGGGTGCCTTGCTTTGAGAGACAACCATGAGAATGTGCTCTTGGACTGGAAGCCTGGAATCCAGAGCTCTGGTCCTAGTTCTACTGTTATTAACACTTGTACCTCTCTGTTCCTCATCTTTGAAGTGAAGAAAACCAAGTTGATGATGTTTGAGGTCTGATGCTGCAAGAGTCAGTTTGACTTGGGCAGTGCAGCTTGATGGTTAGGCATGCAGAGAGTAGAATCCAGTTGCCTGGGGTCCAGTACGAGCTTCATGGCTGGACAAGGTGGCTCATACCTGCAATTCCAGCACTTTTCGGAGGTCAAAGTGGGAGACCAGAGTGGACAACAGAGCAAAACATCATGTCTACAAAACATAAATAATTACCTGGGCAGCATGGTGTGCACTTGTAGTCCCAGCTACTTGGGAGGCTGAGGTGGACTGGGAGGATTACTTGAGCCCAGGAGTTCAAGACTGCAGTGAGCTATGATCACACCACTGCACTCCAGCCTGAGTGACAGAGCAAGATCCCATCCCTTTTTAAAATTTTTTTCTGAGATGGAGTCTTGCTCTGTTACCCAGGCTGGAGTGCGGTGGCGCAATCTCAGCTCACTGGAACCTCTGCCTTCCAGGTTCAAGTGATTCTCCTGCCTCAGCCTCCTGAGTAGCTGGGACTACAGGCAAGCACCACCACGCCTGGCTAATTTTTGTGTTTTTTGTTTATTTGTTTGTTTTGTTTTGAGACAGAGTCTCGCTCAGTCGCCCGGGCTGGAGTGCAGTGGCACAATCTCGGCTCACTGCAAGCTCCGCCTCCCGGGTTCACGCCATTCTCCTGCCTCAGCCTCCCGAGTAGCTGGGACTACAGGTGCCCGCCACTACGCCCGGCTAATTTTTTTTGTATTTTTAGTAGAGACGGGGTTTCACCATGTTGGCCAGGATGGTCTCGATCTCCTGACCTCGTGATCCGCCTGTCTCGGCCTCCCAAAGTGCTGGGATTACAGGCGTGAGCCACCGCACCTGGCCTAATTTTTGTATTTTTAGTAGAGATGCAGTTTCACCATGTTGACCAGGCCAGTCTCAAACCTCAAGTGATCTGCCTGCTTCAGCCTCCCAAAGTTCTGGGATTACAGGTGTGAGCCTCCGCACCTAGCCAAGACCCTGTCTTAAAAAAAAAAAAAAAAAAAAAAAAAAAAATGGCCAACGCAGTGGCTCACGCCTGTAATCCCAACACTTTAGGAGGCTGAGGTGGGCGGAAAACCTGAGGTCAGGAGTTCAAGACCAGCCTGACCAACATCGAGAAACCCCGTCTCTACTAAAAATACAAAATTAGCCAGGCATGGTGGCGTGCGCCTGTAATCCCAGCTACTTGGGAGGCTGAGGCAGGAGAATCGCTTGAACCCAGGAGGTGGAGGTTGCAGTGAGCCGAGATCATGCCACCACTGTACTCCAGCCAGGGCGACAAGAGTGAAACTGCATCTCAAAAAAAAAAAAGGAGCTTCACTACTTATAAATTTGGTGATCCTAAATAAGTCCTTCACTTTTCAGAGCCTCTGTTTTCCTGTCAGAGATGGGGAATAATAGTAAGACCACCTCATGGGGTTGTCAAGAAGTTAGAGTTGGACTGACTCACAGAATTCTAGAATATACCGTCATGCTACGACAGTTTTTTCCTTTTTAAATTTTAAATTATTGTTATTATTATTATTTAGAGACAAGGTCTTGCTCTGTTGTCCAGGCTGGAGTGCAGTGGTGCCATCATAGCTCACTGCAGCCTCAGATTCCTGGACTCATGTGATCCTCCCACCTCAGCCTCCCAAGTTGCTAGGACTATAGGCACAGCCACCATGCATGCCCAGCTAATTTTTTAGACGGGGTCTTACTATGTTGCCCAAGCTGGTCTGAACTCCTGGCCACAAGCTCCTCCAGCCTCAGTCTCCTGAGTAGCTGGGATTATAGGCATGAGCCATTTTGCCTGGCTGCGTTTTTCTTTCACTTAACTTTTTTGGTGGGAAAATTGAGATTCAACTATATAGCAAGTTAACAAACTTTTTTTTTTTTTGAGATGGAGTCTTGCTCTGTCGCCTAGGCTGGAGTGCAGTGGCGCAATCTCGGCTCACTGCAAGTTCCGCCTCCTGGGTTCATGCCATTCTCCTGCCTCAGCCTCCTGAGTAGGTGGGACTACAGGTGCCCACCACCACGCCTGGCTAATTTTTTTTCTTTTTTTTCTTTTTTAGTAGAGACAGGGTTTCACCGTGTTAGCCAGAATGGTCTCAATCTCCTGACCTCGTGATCTACCCACCTTGGCCTCCCAAAGTGCTGGGATTACAGGCGTGAGCCACCGTGTCCAGCCAACAGACTTAAAAAAATAAAAAAGAAAAGAAATTCGAGTTAACATCTAAAAGTTGAAGCTTAGTTCAGGGCTGGTACTCAATATATCTTAGGAATTATTGTTGATTCTCAAATTCTCCAAATATTCACTGAATGCCTGGCACATTTGGAGGCTTTGCACTAGTTCTATGGATGATAAAATGGTATTTACACATGAACTTTGTTTCAAAGAACCCACAATCCAGGAGGACATGCACACATGACTATGTGTGTCTGACACAGAGGTAACTGTCATACGCGAGATTTAAAAACTGCTGGCCGGGCATGGCTCCTCATGTCTATAATCCCAGCACTTTGGGAGGCCGAGGCAGGTGGATCACCTGAGGTCGGGAGTTTGAGACCAGCTGGACCAACATGGAGAAACCCCGTCTCTACTAAAAATACAAAATTAGCTGGGTGTGGCGGTGCATGCCTGTAATTCCAGCTACTGGGGAGTCTGAGGCAGGAGAATTGCTTGAACTCGGGAGGCGGAGATTGCAGTGAGCCAAGATTGTGCCATTGCACTCCAGCCTGGGCAACAAGAGTGAAACTCCGCCTCAAAAACAACAATAAAAAAAAAAACTGCTTTGGGTTGGGCATGGTGGTTCACGCTTGTAATCTCAGCACTTTGGGAGGCAGCCTGGGCTCAAGTGATCCTCCCATGTCAGCCTCCCAAGTGTGAGCCATTGCACCTGGCCCAAAATATCACATTTCTAAACAAAGAAAGATCAGTACTCTTGGTGTTTCCTTTTGCTGCAGGGTCTGATGTGGTGTGTATAGCACTGCTGTCCTGAGTCCCTTGGGGGCCTCTATATTAGACGTGGCGTCACATGTCCCCAGCTGGTTGGTGTTCATCATTAGCTCCTGTGTGGTTTTCCTTCCCCTTCCCATCAAGACCTTCCACGGGGACCAATTGGCCTTGTGTGCCCAGGACTGAGGGGTTTCCTGGGATGGGGGATTTTCAGTGCTTAAACTGGGACAGTTCCAGCAAAGCAGGATGATTTGTTACCCAATTAGAGAAAAAAGCAGGGACTGGATTTTTTTGTTTGTTTGTTTTTTGTTTTTTTGTTTTTTTGAGACAGGATCTCATTCTCGCCTATGCTGGAGTGCAGTGGTGTGATCATGGCTTATTGCAGTCTCCACCTCTCAGGCTCATATGATCCTCCTGCCTCAGCCTCCTGAGTAGCTGGGACAACAGACATGTACCACCACACCCAGCTAATAGGGACTGGATCTTATGTATGTACCTTTGTAACTCTCAAAGGTTATAAGCCACTTGATAGCCCTCAGTAACTATTATTGGCCAAATTTGTCGTCTTTGGCAGAGCACCTGGCAGGGACTCAGTACATCCCTAATCAGTTGCTCATCTGAGGCACAGAAAGGTTAAAAGTGATGCAGCCAGGACCTGCTGGCAAATCCCCATGGCTCCAGCACCAGGCCTGTCTAGCACCTGAACCTCTGACCTACTGCTGCTCATCCATGTCTATCTCCTGAGACCTCGAGACATGAAGCCACCTTGGGTAACTTGTAAAGGCTTATTTGCCTAAAACCTGCCGAGGAGTCTTAATGTCCCCATCCTGTTTTAATAGACAAACACTTTGCTTTTGGAAACTTTCTGTTCCTTGGACATTGATGGTCATATTGCTTCTGGAATCATTACAGTGTGCCTTCGGCCAAAAGCAGAACTGGAAACATCCTAAGTGGGCTGGTAACGAGGCTAGCTCTGTCGACTAGTTCAAGACCCCTGAGAGCTTTGGGCCTGAAGTTCCTCAGCTTCCAAGTGAAAGGTTTCGACTTGGCATTCTGGGAGACAGCCTCTGTGACCATCAGTTTCCTCATCTGTAAAACTGGCATCATGATAACCTTGAAGGTAATTGTGAGGCTTAAAGGGAGTCATGCATGTAAACCACCTTGCACAGTCCCTCGCAGGAGTTCTTGGCTTTTTGTTTTTTTGGGTTTTTTGTTTGTTTGTTTGTTTTGAGACAGAGTCTTGCTCTGTTGCCCAGACTGGAGTGCAGTGGTGCAATCTCGGCTCACTGTAGCCTCCACCTCCCTGATTCAAGCGATTCTTGCACCTCAGCCTCCCAAGTAGCTGGGATGACAGATTCACCATGTTGGCCAGGCTGGTCTTAAATGCCTGGCCTCAAGTGATCTGCCTGCCTCAGCCTCCCAAAGTGCTGGGATTACAGGTGTATGTCACCTCGCCCACCCAGGAGTTCATTTATTAGCTTGTTTTTCCTTCTCTTTAGTTCTCCCCTAAGTCTAAACTGCAGTGATTTTATGATTCCACTTTTCGAGTCAGTGCCCCAGATGGTTTGCTCATTCATTCACCCCGAAAAATGTTTATTGTTCACCTAGTATGTGGCAAACATCACACTAGGTACTGGGTGCTAAACATATGGTGGTGGGCAAGAACTTGTCTAGACATCAGAAATTGTCCAGCAATCCCCAGCAATGCAAAGAAAGACACAGCAAAAAGATCCATGATCAAATGCATCCAGATGTCTGAAATTATAACTTTTATGATTGTTTCAAATGAATTCTGAGTAGATGCTACTTAGCAGCTGGCCACAGTTCTCCCCAGTACCTGCTGTTCTACTTAAGACACCTGCTGCTGTTTCCAGGATGCTAACATTTACTTTGGTCTTTATGTCAATGTCATTTGCAGAGAAAGCCAGCTGTGCGGCTTTTTCTCTTTCAACATTGCCACTGAATTGTGCTTTGTTGATACAAAATTAAACACTGCTCACGTAGATAGCACCAGGGCAGCTTTCAAGACTGGTTTGAATAGGAACCTTCTGCCTAAGATGAAGAGTAGACTCCATCTTGGGGTTAGGAATGTTTTCCTTCTTTGAGGCTTGATCATCTGGCCGAATTTTACTTTACCTGGTGCTGCTTTTGTTCCCCTGGCTTTCCTTTCTTGGAGCCCTTTTGAAATAATCCTTCTCTGCTTGTGGGATTTTACCAGACAGTAAAGAACTGATGAACCATAAAAAGAAAAGGTTAGACAGACAGCAGATTAGTGGTTGCCAGGTGCTGGGGGTGGGGGGAATGCTGAGTGCTTCACAGGAATGAAGACTCTTTTGGGGGTAATGAAAATGTTTTGGAACTAGACAGAAATGGTGGTTGTGCTGGATTGTGAATGTACTAAATGCCACCGAATTGTTCACTTTACAACAATTTATTTTATGTTACATGAATTTCCCCTCAGTTACACACACACACACACACACACACAAACTAAACATTATATTAAATGAGAGAAGCCAGATACAAGAGTATGATATATGAGCCTAGGTATATGAAGTTTGAGAACAGGCTAGAGTACACTATGGTGGTAGAAATTAGGACAGTGGGCTGGGTGTGGTGGCTCACACCTGTAATCCCAGCACTTTGGGAGGCCAAGGCGGGTGGATCACCTGAGGTCAAGAGTTTGAGACCAGCCTGGCCAACACAGTGAAACCCTGTTCTCTACTAAAAATAACAAAAATTAGCTGGGTGTGGTGGCATGCACCTGTAGTCCCAGCTACTCAGGGGGCTGAGACAGGAGAATCACTTGAACCCAGGAGACAGAGGTTACAGTGACCCGAGATCGCATCACTGTACTCCAGCCTGCACAACAGAGTGAGACTCCATCTCAAAAAAATTAATTAATTAAATAAAAATAAATAATAAAATGCAGGCTATGGGTCAAATATGAATTTCAAAGAAACAAATTACTTTTAGTATAAGTATGCCCGATGTATTGCATTGTTTATCTGAAATTCAAATTTAACCAGGCATTTTGTATTTTTACTTATTAAATCTGGTAACCCTATGTTTGAGACTTTCTATAAGAAAGTCCTATTGTCATTAAGGGATAAACTAGGATGACCTGTCTGGTAAAAAGAGAACAGATCTCTGTCTGTCACTTGGTTCCCTAGAACCCTCACCTGTGGAGTTAAATTTGGAATCTGGAAAAATTGAACCTAAGAAGCTCCAGATTTAGGTATCCCAGGCATGGCAGGGAATTGAGATAAGACTCAGAACTAAGAACTTTTATTGAAAGTCTATATAATAAGGTTGGGTGCAGCAGCTCACACCTGTAATCCCAGCACTTAGGGAGGACAAGGCGGGAGGATCACTTGAGCCCAGGAGTTCAAGACCAGCCTGGGCAACATGGTGAGACCTCACCTCTACAAAAAATTTAAAAATTACCTGGGCATGGCGGCACACCTGTAGTCCCAGGTACTTGGGAGGTTAAGGTGGGAGGATCACTTAAGCCCAGGAGGCAGAGGTTGCAGTGAGTCAAGATTGTGCCACTGGCACCACTGCACTCTAGCCTGGGTGACAGAGTGAGACTCTGTCTCGAAAAAAAAAAGATTGCGCCACTGCAATCCAGCCTGGGCAACAGAGCCAGACTCTGTCTCAATAAACAAACAAACAAACAAACAAAAACCCCAAAGACTTCCAGTCCCCTTCATTTCTCCTACTCCCAGAAAGTTTGTGCCCAGACAGGAGATTGAAGGTTCTTCTCTAGAAAACCTGAGTTGTCTCAGATAAATGATTCCCACACACTCTCATTTTCGGAGTCATCAAAGGAAAAAGCAAGTTTCCCCCTGATCATTTTACAGGAAAAATCAAGCAATTAATAAGCCCTTCACATATAAATAGAGAACTTCCCATCAGGTTCCTATTTCTCTCATTCTCAACTCGGTCAAACACACTGTCAGGATAAAGAATTTCTTCAGGGCTGGTGTGATGGCTGAAGCCTGTAATCCTGGCACTTTGGGAGGCTGAAGTGGGAGGATCACTTGAGTCCAGGAGTTCGAGACCAGGCTGAGCTAATCATAGTAAGACCTCATTTCTACAAAAAGTAAAAAAATTAGCTGGGCATGGTGGTGTGCACCTGTAATCCCAGCTACTTGGGAGGCTGAGCTAGGAGGATTGCTTGAGCCCAGGAGGTCAGGGCTACAGTGAACCATGATCACTATACTCTAGACTGAGTGACAGAGCGAGACTCCATCTCACAAAAAAAAAAAAAAAGACACCCACAGACACAATTAAAAAAAAAAATAGCAATAGGTATATGTTTAAAAAGTAAAGAAATGAAGAAAATGAGGCAGGTTAAACAGGCTTCGTGTGGTGGCTCACACTTGTAATTCCAGCACTTTGGGAGGC